CTAATTACCTGTTGTGTTGAACAATCCAAACACAAGCCGAGAGAAGGGAAAAATACAGTATGAAAAGGCAGAACGAAGAGGAAAAATGTGGAGAAGACATGGCAGAAAGAAGAAACTATCCCACAAGCATGGATAGCATAACGAGATGGCATGAAGGTGAGGGCATGAGAAAAATGAAGGAAGCATCAAAGCCAAGTGATTGGGAATACAGAAAAGAGACAACAGAGGAAGTGACAACATTAGGAGTATGGGACGATGCAGGAGAACAGGTGGGGAAGAAAGAGGAGAGATCCGAGATGACGTTTTCTTTCTTTCTTTCTTTCTTTCTTGTTTTTTTAAATAACCCCACAAGAGCCTGGAAGAGAATCCCCAGAGAGAACAACCAGCCACAACAACTTCAATGTAAGAAGCACAGCAGAGCACTGCACCTTTTTGAAACAGGGATCTTTTCGCATCGCCTGCCTGTGCGGCAGGTCGATTTTAAGTAGTGCCTTCTTACAATTCTCACTTTCACTGGCTAGAAAGAAGTGCCACGACTCTGCACAACCTTTCAGCCTGGGCCAGTGATGTCAACCTTGCTCGCTGTCCGTCTGAGCAGCACTTGCAAAGCTCTAAGTGTCCATCAGCTACGGCGTCCGTCGCCAGCGGAAGCAGCTTACAAAAGCCCGTGGTATCTCCAGCAAGAGCTCTCAACCTGGCTGGACTCATGGCGCCCCTTTGGACCTGAGGCAGCCGCTGCCCACGTGCCAATCTGCACTAGGGACTGTGACTGGAAAAATACCAGAGGCACTCTTCCACCAACAACACTGCGCACACGGCACGGCAAGGCAGGGGGGCGTGCGCAGAGCGCATTCCCACGTTATGTCAGTGGGTGGAGGTGGCACATGGCGGTCGTACGCTGAATGGCCTTTTAACACCTCACCAGATTTCCCGGGCCAGGCCCGCCAAAGAAACTATAACCCCCTTTAACACAGGGGGCCACTAGAGATGTGTTACTGAATGCTTGGGACAAATAATAACAAAAACAGGGATGGGAGCAGAGGTCAAAGGCTAGAAACACAAGTGCCAAGAGGGGACAACAAGCAAAGCAGAAAGGACAGCGCCCACCGACCCGGCGCCAACCCAGCGTGGAACCTCAAGGCCCCCTGGAGATGACCTCGAGGCCCCTGAGGATGCGGCCTCCTGGCTTAGCCCCACTGCCCTACCTCTACGCAGGCTTTTCCCCCTAATGTTATCTTTTTCAAAATACTTTCATCCTGCTAGAAATGCCCCCATTCCCTCAGGCACAGGCGCTCCATGGGCAGCCCAACGCTTCCCTGCAAGGACCCCTTTGGACACCCGCTCCCTCGCGTAGACCCCCACCGGCAACGAAGCCAGGCCCCGCCCCCTCCATGTCACTCCCGCTACGCCCCCCCAACGTCCCCTCCCCGTATGGCGGGGGGTCTCGCGGCCCCCCCACGGCAGTACCATTCGGACCGGGGTCGGGGGGGATAGATCAGTCTGGGCTGCCGGGCTCCGCAACAGGCCGAGTGTGTTCCCCCTCGCTCACCGTCCGGGCGGCGGCCGGGCCCTGCAGCACGCGGGAGAGCGCGGCCACCAGCATCTTGCGCATGGAGCGGGAAAGAGGCCGCAACGCCCAACGCCCGCCCGTGTCCTCGAGTCTCCTTCAGCGCCGGCCAGGCCCTGCTGCCGCTACCTCCGCCTCACCACGCCCTCTCGTTGGGCCGACCGGAATCTAGCCCGGAGTGACAGCTCCGCGGCTGACAAAAGGGAGATTCGCTATAGAGTTGTGGCCGACCAGCAACGCTCCCCGAGTTCCACGTTCCTAAAGGAATTTGAGCGAATCTCTCCGAGCGCTCGGCTCCTGGTTGCGCATGCGCACTGGGACTCCAGGGCTGACAGCCCAGGGGCCCTAGCAAGGCAGTGATGGGAGTGGAGGATCCCAGGGGAGCTCCCCCCCCCCCCCCTTTGCAATTCCCAAAGTCATGTCATGGATAAACATTAATGTTCAGTTATTATTAATACAATAATTATTATGAGTTGTCAGTTAATACATTAGTTGTGGATTTTTTGTTAATAAATTATTATTATTTGTTATTATTTAAAAAAAAATGTAGACCTGTTGAAAGTGCCTGCCTAGGTGGCTGCAGCCCCCAGGGCCAAGTGTAAAGTATCCATGGCTGGGGCATGCCTGGCCTGAGCCTTGCATTATTTGGCATTTGCCTCAAGTCGTGGTGCAATGCAACCTTGTGAGAATCTGAGCTTTCCTTCCTTGATTTTATTTTCATGTGGACGCATATCTTTCCATGTTGTAGAGAGCCAGGGGAATACACAGAGCTAGGGCCACCCAACCATCAAAAGAGCCAAAAAAAAAGAAAAAAATCATATTTGTCATCTCTTTAAAAAATCTGATTATTTTTGGACCGATTTCCTGATGTCAGGTGGTGAGAGAGGCCAATGCCTAATTTTTGAAGGCTTGACCTTAGCTGTGTTGTATCTAACTGCTGCCTGGAATCGCAATTGCAAAAAAGTTAGGTATTTGGTATGTAATTACCTGGGCTGGAGCTAATTATACATGTGGCCAAGACGCCAAGCTCAAAGCGAATTGTTGGTTACAATACGGTCATGAAGCTGACTATCGATATGTTCCCTACTCAGTCAGAGTTGTATATTAAGTTTTAATCATTTGCGGCCTGTCTAGACAAGGGGATTTATGCTGACACGTCACTGCTTTCGTATAACTACTTTTGCTTTCACTGGTATGAAGTAGTCATGTCTAAACCAACATCACTTTCACATGTGGGGAGAGGGAAGTTCATTCAAAGTGTATAGCACTGTGGGTAGGTATCCCATGCAGTGGGATTGGAAGTGGAAGATGGGGTTGGACATTAGACATCCCATGATTTTTCTTTTGCCAGGCCAGACTTTGACTCTTCAAGGTGCTGTTGGCATTTTCCAACTCCTAACTGATCATTTTGGACAAGCCAGCCCTCCAAACTATGATGCTGGTAGTATGTAGGCATGCATACCAGTAGCATATACAGAGACTTATGCAGATATATTTGACAAACTCATAAAAAAGCATTAGCTTTGCAAGCTAGCTGCCACACAAGCAACTGTGGCTTATGGAGAAGTAGCAGTTACAGGTGTAACTTCCTTGCCTGTGGCTGGATATAGGGGAACATTTCCATTGGTATAATATAGGGCAGTCCAACAGGTGGCCTGTGAGCCACATGTCACCCATGAGGAGTCAATTTGTGTCCCCCAAGCTACCACCCAGCCAGCGCTCCCTGCATCACTCAGGCTGAAGTAGCAGTTGAGGTCTTGGGCTCCCCCACCTTGCCCTGGTTTCAGCTTCCTGGGTGGTATGGCAAAGTGCAGCCCACAGTGCTGGGGGAACTGGTGGCCTGGAGTGCCCACACAACGTGGTACAACTGGCCACATGGCATGTGGCCCAGGGGGCCATAGGGCCACAATGTGTGGTCCTCGCTGGTGCAGTCTGTGGTGTGTGTGGCATGTAAACCATATAGCTGCTGCTTGTTTTCACTGGTGTGAAGAGTGATTACACCAGTGTGAATTGTCACTTTTCTAATCTAATCAGAGAGAAGAGAATGAGGAGGAGAATGGCAAAATTAAGAAGCTGTTTCTAGAGGGTGTTTTCCTGGAGTAGCTTTTCTTTGTTAGTATCATTTCAGTCTGTCAACTGGCAGGAAATGACTGTTTCATAGTTTTATAGTTGTTAGGGGCTGGAAGGGACCTTACAGATTATTGGGTCCATGGGCGACTGGTGCCTCCTGACTGGTGGGGCACCAGTGGCCTATCACTGATGGGGGGGAGGGGTCTCTGAGTGGCTGATCACCAAAGTGGGGTGGGGTGGTTCCCCTGCAGCTGATTGCCGACAGGAGGGCGGAGGGGGCAGCGGCTGATCCCCGACCCTGGAAGCGCCGGCAGCAAAGCTGGAAGTGCCACTGGCAACACTTTGCTAGTTTGCTTTTAATGCCTGAATCCAAATCGTTGATGAACATGTTGGAAAAACTTGCCTTCTCCAAATGGGAAGCAAAGCTCTTGACTCTGGTGGGACTTGAACCCACAACTTTTGAATTGCTTTTGTTAGTATAGAAGTCCAACATGCTAGCTATTGCACCACAGAGCCATCTGTGCTGCAGCTTTTGTATGACCAGTAGAACTTTAAGATGATAAAGGACGATTTGGTGACCTGCACAGAGCTTCCCCCAGAGTTGCAGAGTCCCTTATTTAGTTAGAAGTAAGTGGCCATCACCCAGTGGAAACTCCTAGTTCCTGACTGCTATCAATCAGGTGCTAACAAGTTGGCCATGGGCGGAATCACTGCTCGGCTTGTCTTGATGGAGATGCATCACTGCCACAACATACTTTTGTCACCTGCTATTAGGCTTGCTAAAACTCAGGTGTGTCTCGCTTTTGTATTCCAACACTTGATTGACCCCGCTTCATTTACCAATGTTAATATGGGTTGACCAGCCAAAGTTCATAAAAGAAGAATTTTCAAGAATGTTCACCTGTTTTCCATAGTGATAAAAGGCTATCTGTCAGCCCAGTTACTGCTATGGGCCTTAGTGGTGTCAACATGCCTCATGAGATCCTGCCTATCCTTGACTGTCATGGCTCATAATGTCTTTCATCAGACATTTAGACCATTAAGCAGCTGCAGAATGACAGTGGGTTAATCTTTTGGGACATTGAAAAGTAGATGGCAGATGTTAGCTGGAAGATTTGAGGCAAATGAGTAATAGCTTCCCTGAATTACAACCATCATGAGCTGTATTTTACACAACACTTATGGGAGCAAAGGAGACAATCTTACTGAGAGCTGGGAAGCAAACGCATGCTGTGACAATCGTCAACAACACAAGGTCCAGGAAACCATGTGACCCTACTTCAAGCAAAGAATACAATCTTTTAGACATGCTGTCGGGGTGTTCTGGGCTAGGAGGTACTGGGTTTTTGTTCTTTGTACTCCATTATGAATCTTAAACAGAATTGTGCGTGTTTGTGAAGGAGGATTGTGTATGATCAAACTGCAGGGTTTGTTCTGTGTGCTTGGTGTGCTTTTAGTAGTGTTGTGTTGTTACTGTAGGCATGATGGGCCAGAGAAGAGTCAAGAAAGTTAATTAGTTTGTTATTATCTTTTATTGTTATTTTGTAGTTGGGAGAGATGTTAGACCAGCTTTCAGGTACATAATGTCATTTCTCAGGTGATCTGAAAGTTGGTGCAACATCTTTCCCGGTTATATACCTGAGGCTACCAAATACATCCTGCTTTTTGTGTGCTTTCAAAAATTTTAAACACTGCACACCTTTAGCATTGTATACATGGCCAATTTGGTTGTCTGGATCTGCAAGCCTAGATAGGTTTGTTATCTATATGAAGGATTCCTTATTAAACCACTTAAAGGGCATGCTTCCAACCTTGCATATAGACAATGAAGCAGCTTAGTTCAGTGGTCCCGGCCTCAACATGGACTTTGCATTCACAACAAACCCTACTTCTAGCCAACAACCCCTCCTATAATCAAAGGCCTAAGCGGTTTAATTGGCCATTTGCAAGTCATGAAGCACAGCAATAATGCCTGCATTTTAAACATTGTATACCTCTAGCTTTAAGTACAGGACTAGTTTGACTATCTAGACTTTCAGGCCTGGGCAGGTTCATTATCTCCAGCGCAGGGTTTGTTGTACGTGCTTCCAGGGATTTTATGAATTTTAGCTATTGTTAGTTTTAGCTTCAAGTGCAGGCCTGGTTGAGTGCCTGTCCCTTCAGGGCTAGGCAGGTCCACTGTTTGCATAATAGGTTTGTTGTGCATACCTATTGGTACCCTCTTTAGATATCTGTGAATGTTACAAACAGCAGTGCTTTGGCTGATGGATAAAACTATTAACATCTTTATTATGTAACCAAGCATGACTTCCTTGTCCTTAAAGTTCAATTAGTATAAAAAATGACAAAGGTATAAAGACAGAGAATGTATAGGACAGGGGGTGAAAGATATGGCCTGAGGGCTGAATCTGTCCTGTGGAGCCCTGTCATCTGGCCCCCAGTGTTGTCTGTGAGTCTCAGTGCCCAGTCTGGCCACTTCGGGACAGTACCGCACGCAGCACCCACTCCAGCATAACGGCTCTAAGCTGGATCTAGTGGTGCTTCCCAAAGCAGACATTGCATGCAGCATGGACCTGGAGCAGCAGAGCAACCACCATGTGCAGCACAGGCCCACAGCCCTGGAGTGGCCACTACATGCAGTGCAGCCCCAGGGTGGTGGAACGCCTGCCATGTGCACAGTGGTGGACTGATGGGGTGTGGGGGGTGGGAGAGGACCATCGTCCCCGGGCGCCGGCCTAGGGGGTACACTGGCCAGGCTCTTCAGAGTTCTTATCACATGATGTGACTTCAAGTATTGCTACAATAAGGGGGGGGGGGGGGGCACAAAAGAAACGATTGCCCCCGGGGGCCCCGGGGGGGCACAAATGCAAGCATTGGCCCCTGGGTGCCAGAGACCCACGATATGTCACTGCATGCAGCATGGCCCCAGAGTAGCCGGAGTAGGACTATGCCATATGCAGCTCCGTAGACATGGGCTGGATCCAGTATACAGAGCGGGTCTTCAGGGACAGATGAGTTTACACCCCATGTGAACAGTGAGGCTTTAAAGGAAGGTATAAAGAAGATTTAACTTAATGGCTTGGCTCAGGACAGCTTGCAGCT